ATAATACCAGATTTTAATTATCTATGAATCTTTCATCTTGATGTCAGAAGTTTCATTAGTAGTAGAAAATACGTCAGATGACTTAATAAGTCAAACGTGACTTTAAGTATCCACTAAGCATTAAATTAGACTCTGCGGTAGTCATAGTCCCATCTCATGTGTCTTTAAAAGCTGGGTATTCACATCCCTCAGCTGGAAACGTGTTGGCTTCAGCATGTACCTCCACCAAAGCCAAACACACACACACAGATGCCTTAGAGCACAAACCGACGGACAACTAAATCCTCTTTGCAGGTTGAACGCTCTACCCCACACACAAGTGCCTTATAGCACAAACAGATGGACAGCTAAATCCGCTTTTCAGGTTGAACGTTCTACCCCATGCCACTCCCTCCCAAAGAAACATCATCATAGTCAGACCACCAGTTACCAGAAAGAGTGGAAATTGTCCGTTGTCCTTCTCTGTTCTCATCAGTACAGATCAAGTTGCATGGGGCCAGAACCTCATCTGACAAGAGGTTGGTGTCCCTTTAGCGCTAGTTCCTTAGATAATCCACCAGTAGTTTAGTTGGATTAATTAAATCTTGAAATACAAAGTCAGTGCTCAGATCACTCATACAAGAAGCTAAATCTAGATTTTCTTTTTTAAATCTGACCTGTAGAATAGTGTTAAAAAGGTATCCAGGATGCCCAAAGTAGAACTTTCAAAATACCGTTATTTCAATAATGGTTAGGTGCTTTTAACTTTGGCTAAATTCTCCTTCTGAGCTTCAGCTTCAGTAATCTTCTAAACGTACAGCCCATTTCATAATTTGTTTTTAATTTTTTTATAAATTCATTTTATTTTTATTTGTGAGTTGGGTCTTCGTTGTTGTGTGCGGGCTTTCTCTAGTTGCAGTGAGCGGGGGCTACTCTTCGTTGCGGTGCGCAGGCTTCTCGTTGCAGTGGCTTCTCTTGTTGCAGAGCATGGGCTCTAGAGCGCAGCCTCAGTAGTTGTGGTGCACAGGCTTAGCTGCTCCATGGCATGTGGGATCTTCCCGGACCAGGGCTCGAATCCATGTCCCCTGCATTGGCAGGCGGATTCTTAACCACTGAGCCACCAGGGAAGCCCATGATTTGTTTTTTAAATAAGTGCATAATAAGTCTTTTCAGCCTTGTAATCAAATTCATAATTCAGAGAGTTTTTAATTTAGCTAAAAAGAACTCTGGCTAGCAGACCCTAGATGTGTCCCTTTTAAGTTGAGATTATTAGGTGGTTTCTGCTAAGTCTTCAGTCCCTTAGACCACAAAGATTAGTTCCAGATAATTTTTAGTGGCTAGGCTGGCCAACATGTTCACATTTTCTACACACAAGACTCCCATTACCCATCCCTCTTATATACATGTCTGTTCATTCTTTGCTATTGATCTTCCCACAAAATGTATTATTTCTTGGAGCTGTTAGCATCCAAAGGGGACTGTTGAGCCTGTGATTTCAAAAAGCTTCTATTTTCTCTGTTCCAAAGTATAATTTTTTTTAAGATTTTTTCTTTTGATGTGGACCATTTTTAAAGTCTTTATTGAATTCGTTACACTATTGCTTCTGTTTTAAGTTTTGGCTTCTTGGCCGCAAGGCATGTGGGATCTTAGTTGCCCAACCAGGGATCAAACCACACCCCTTGCGTTGGAAGGCGAAGTCTTAACCACTGGACCGCCAGGGAAGTCCCCAAAGTATAATTTTTAAATGTACTGTATATTATGGAAAAAACACAAAATACTTATTTTATTCTGTCTGTATATACAGTATAAGAAATTAAATTGTAAAAAAGTGAACTCCACTTTTAATTTAAGCAGACAAAGAATTTCCTCCATTAGTTTTCTGTATTTGGCTGGCCTATGATTTTTGTACCTTTAAAAATACATCTAAGACTCTTAAATACCTGGCTTAAGTATTTTGAGCATTGAATATGTAGAAAAAATGAGAATTATGGAATACGGGGCCTCTTTCTTATTTTCAGAAATGGTGGATTTGGCTTTTTGTAACTCTAGTGTTGGCTCTCAAGCTAGGTTTACACTTCTAGAGGACCAGAAGTCACAGGAGTGTAGTAGAGTCAGTAGTCATGAATACCCCACATCAGGTAATCCAGGTCTGGAAAGAGGAATAAGCTTCATGTGGTATGAAGGTACACATGACTTTTCATGGATAACTATATACACACAAGGAATGTTGAAGTAGTCTTTGGCCACCTGTTATTTGCTGTTTTCGTTCATCCATTCTCCCCTTTAGTATGGCATGCTTCCTTTTCTGAAAATGAGTCTACAGATATGTAAGCAGCTACTATATAGTTGTGCACACACGTGTGTTACACATGTCCAGATCAGTATAATAAGCTAATTTCTAAAATGCCTATAGCAGTGCAAATAAAGATTGTACAAATGGCATTATTATTGTTGTTGTTTAACTCTAGAATAAAAGTCTTCTACTTTGAAGTACGATCCTGTCTTTGGGATTAGGGCCTTTGATGTTTCATTGTTGTTTTTTTAATTTATCAATTCATCTGAGGCAGCCAGAGAAGGTTCTCTAGAATTTTATGAAGGCTATTTCCAATAATCTCATATTATAAACGCTCATTAAGCGTTTTTACTTAAACTCTCTTTTCTCTGTGTACATTTATCCTGTAATATAGTTGACTTAAATTGTTAAGCAAATCCAAAAAGATTTCTAGTCCCTTTAATTACATAAACTGTGATTTCTGACCTCAGTTCAAATTCTGTTATCACTAACAGAAGAAGCTTACAGACCTCTGCCATCAGGCCATCAAGGGGTTAAATTATTTTATCAGATATGTTTTTGAGGGGCCACAGCTATGCTGCCTGTACTGCCTTTTATTTTTTTAACTTTCTAGTTCACTAATCAAATGTATGTTAGATTGATTATTGTAAAAGTATAAACCATAGAAAATTTGACAAGATAGATGTGTAAATTATCCTTCTGACAGAACTAATGATGCACTTCAAGCACCTTCTGTTTTCCAGCGCTTGGTGAGCGACTTCATTAAATATGCAGTGGCTGTTGGGTAGCTTCTCAGAGGATGGTTCAGCTCCTTGTGGAATTGGATTATTACTAGAGGTGTAAAACGAGGCAGATGAGCTAGCTGTTGGGCATCCTGCTGAGGTTCTAATGTGCTCCATCTTGTCGGAGCAGTTGTTTGCAGTCTTTTCAGGACAATTACATCCATAACCACAGGACACATTCAGTGAAAGTATATCACAGATAACAGTGGAGACTGGCATTGACTGCTTTTCATCCCACTCTCTTGAGTTGCCTCAGTGTTGGTAGCTTATAATAATGCCACTTCTACCATTCACAGAGTAGTTTTTTTTTTTTCTCTTTTAATACTTTGGAGCAAATCTGGAAATAACTGATTTGGAACTTTTTCTAAGTGCAAAAATCGTAGGATATTTGGAGTGAAAAGATTCGGTAGCTTCTAATCCCTTTGCATATGAGAAAACTAAGGCTGAGGCATTGTGGTGAGTTGTCCCTTAGGGAGATAGTAGGAGGACCTGGTAGAACATCTTTTAGGTGGTAGAGATTGCATGAATAGCAGTTTGTACTGTTTGGCTTCTGGTTTTAGAGCTCTTTTAAACAGAATTTTTCTTTTGAATTTAAGATTTCTTTTTCCTGCTGTAGAGCATTTTTCCTCATCTTAATACCAGCAATGCTTCTTTATTTCTAGAAGCCAAGCAGAAATATTTTGCTTTCTGAGAATGTCATGCTATTTATTATTTTAATGACAACTGGTGGTTTCCTGGAGTACTGGACACAAAAGACGGTTTGAGTTGAGCTTAAAATGGTATTTAAGTTTTCCAAAAGGGAGATGCTGTGGTGGATCACTGAAGCTTGATAAATGAGAGTGCATTTTAGAATGACAGGCTGAATACTTTAATGAAAGAAGGCTTCCCATTTTAGTTGGCCAATTAAATCGCTGCTGATGACTTTGGATCATTAATGAACATTTGTGGAAAATGACCATTAGAATTCAATTATTACAATAATACATTTGAAAAGTACTAACCACAAATAATCCTGCCCGTAAATAAGATTTATCCATTTTCCCATAAATAAATCAGCATCCTGCTTTGCTTTTTAATGCCAAAGCAAATTGACATTTCAGAACTCTTTTATAGATTAAGTACATATCCTTTCTTATAAAAGTTCTGCTTAGAAAAGGTTACATTTTCGTTGAATGCCTTTTAAAATATAATTTATGCTGCTAACGATTATATTCGTTATTCTCAGAATAAATTAGCAAGACTTATAAACAAAGAAGGGGAACATGATACAGTGTATAAAAGCAGATAATTAAATTTAAGATGGTTTAGGTATTTGATTTATTTAGTGCCTAAAAAAACTCTAATTCTGGAAAAATAATAGGAAGAAAATAACAGTTATTTGAACATGCAAATTTATTTTAAAGTCATATGAAAAGAAAATGCAAATGGAAAGCTCATAACCAGATTTTTTTCTTAAGCCCAAAGTTCAGATTTTCTCAATTTTTAAAAAGCTTTTGTTCTCAAAATATTTTATGGATATATAGCTTGTCAATTTTTGCTGTAGTATACCCAGCAAATTCATCTGGATATGTTTTCTTTAGTTAACTTTATTTTCTCTGAAACTTTGGCATGTTCTGGTAAAGACAGGAGGCAGGTTCTTTTGAAATGCATGTTTTTCTCATTTTGTTATTTGTAAAATGGGCCATAATCTCAGTGCAGGCTCCCTTCATCTCCATTTTACAGTTTACAAAGAAAGGAGACACTGTGGAGCACAGGCTCCCCTGGGAGTACACTGAGCTTAATGAGCTTGATAGTCTGGTGGGCTCAATAAATCAAATACAGCAAAACATTTCTCATTTTTAAATAAAAGCATTTATCACACAGTGTTTGTTCATTCATGGTCATAAGATTGATTGGTTCCCAGCATCATAGTGTATATTGAAGCATTTTTGATTTTGTTTTTCCAGTGGGCAAGTTACGGAAGCAGTGGCTAAAGGAAAGTATCTCTGATGTCGGCTTTGGGATGCTGAAGTCTGTCAAGGAATATGTGGACCCCAATAACATCTTTGGAAACAGAAACCTTTTATAAATCCATTACTGTTGTTAAGAAAAATGTCACTTTTTTTTTTAAGTCTTTTAACTATGGTTATACCAGTAATCAGATATATCATGGACTTTATTTCAGCTACCTTTGTTTGTTGGTTTAAAATAAGTTTGTTTCATTCTGTAGTTTGTTTCGTTTCTACATCTATGGATTGACAGATGGTATTCCTAAATCTCTCTCATTGTAGGTGTATCAGTTTACAGCCAACTGGTTATCATTTCAAATTTCAGTCAGGCAGCACAAGGCTGCCAGTGGTTAATTTCAGAAGGAGGTGCTGCCAGCTGTTTTGTATTGATGCTTCTTCTTAGGAACAAAGCCAGATTTTGGTGTCATCTATTGTTTCTCTAGCCTCTTTGTTAAAAGAACGTTTCTGGGAAGCAGCTATCTAGGGAAGGATTCCACTGAGGAGCGTTATACATGTATGTTTTTTTAAGAGTGCATTCTAGTGTGAATAGGTCATTAAGGGAGAATACCCATGAAAGAATATAGGCAACCTCTTATTTAGGATGCCTTCAGTTCTGTAAGGTGCTTGGCCTACATTTTTCTTTGAAATTAGTATACAGTTATAAAACCTTAAATCATTAGTATGCTTTATTCTGTCAGGGGACATGTTTTTGTTCTCCATGTTTCTGTTTCTACTGAGGTATGAGTTGTATTTCTATCACTGAGATAACATATTGTTATATCCTAATTCATTCCTAATATGTTTTATAAGAAAAGCTGACTTATCACTCATTGTACGTGAAGAACAGGTTTACCATGAAAGGAATGTCTTTATTCAACTTAGAGTTCTAATGTTTCTCATTTCACATTCTTGTTGCTGAGATGCAGAAGAAGCTACAACAGGAGCAGAAGAGGGAAGACTTCTTACACTGAATGTCTCCAGTTCAAAGAACTGTTTTGGCTAAAGAAACACAGTCATCATTCAGCTACTGAATTTGAAAACCTCAACAGTTTCAATGACAAAAAAACCTTTTTAAAAAAAATTAACCCAAACAACATAAATTTCCATATAAAAGTAAAGTTTCAATTTAGTTTTTAATAATGGTTTAATGCCTTTTTTGAATTACTGGTTTAACCTAAATTTAAAAATATAATGTATTAATACACATACCATAATCAAAAGTTTGAAATATCATATTTCTTAAACAATAGGGAGAACGTTAACCACATTTAGCGAACATTTTTACATTCAAACCTGGATATTAAAATAAATGAAATGATTACTTTGAATCACTGTCTGTCAAGGTTCATGGTTCACATTTTGAGACAGATTCTTTTCTTAATGCAATACCTAACTTTTGATAATTTTTTTAGAATTAATATTTGATCAGCTAATATGAGTCAAAATGCAGACTATCCTTTAAAAGGACATACTGTCTGTCTGTGTAGCAACAGCTCCAAAGTATTTTGGGGCAGTTTGATACCTTTTATATCTGAAGTAGCCTTAACCAGAAAATCTAAAATTGATGCACAAAATGATATTTTTAAGACTTCAAAGTGATAAATAATTTTTAACAAATAAAATTGGCCTCAAACTAATAAACTTAAAATCTGTAAGCAAATCAAAATGAAACATTAGTTTAACAACAAAAACTAAATATTTATTTATTAGAAGCTGCCTCTCTTCATTGGTGATTTATTTTTAATTATAAAATTTCCAGCAGATCTTTGCTTCAAGCCCTTGATATTTGAAATAGTTGGATACTTGATGAGGAAATTACACTTGCTTCTCAAATTATAAAAATCTCAGCTTTATGAAATGCATCTATTCATGAAAGTAATTTCTCTAATTGGTGATCAAACTGTAAAATTTATTACGATACTAATATCTCACTGGAGTGTATACATGTTTCTGAGTAATTTTTTAAAAATAAAACTTACAGGTTCATAAGCAGATCCATTCCTTTGCACGTGATTGTTATAACGTTCTTTCCTAGGGAGTTCAGATTTCAATAACCTCAGAATTAGGAAATGTAACACCTGAAATTGTTCACTATTCTACATGAACCTTGTGGAAATTAGTGATTTATGCGTTTGTTTTCTTCCATGCATGCATGACTCTCCAACCTTGATTTTGTAGTGATGACTACATTTTGTAGTTAGAATCATTTCTACAGGGATCATTTTGAAACACATAAACACTCATCAGTACTGTTTCACTCTGATTTAGTAAATCAGAAAGGCTTTCCCTGCTTCCACGCATCCACCTCTGAGAGGTGCCTCAGCTGCATAACACCGATTTGTCTTTCTTAAATTAGTCATATTTCTAATATTTTATTTGATGATGTCACATTTGGGTTGACATTTTAGTGGGAATGGGAACTTGCTGCTAGTGAGAAATGGCATTGAATACTAGAGTCAGTATGAACAGGCTTTACTGACCCCTAGAGAAACAGCTGCCTTAATGTTTGGTGTGCTTTACAGTGTATAAGTGAGTTTATTAGTGTTATGCTAAGTAACGTGAGCTTTTTTAGTTTAGTAAGAATTGCAGAAGCCACATGAATATTGTGCCCAGCATTTTACCACAAAGAAAGAGGATTAAAGTCTTTCCTCTCTTGAGGAATTGGGAGTTTTCTTCCTAAATGCTTACATACTATAGTACTATTACTTAAAAGCTGTTTATGAAGCTGGAAGCATTCTAGTATACATAGCTGTGTTGATGTATTTTGGAAAACAAAAACGCAGTGAAGGATGAACTTCCATCAGTGTGTGTATTAAATCAGATACAGATGGTTGCAAGAAAACCTCTTTTTCAGAATACTCTCTTAGTAACTGCTGAGTCCTAGCTTGCAGTTTTGAAAATGACTTTTACATGTTGGCTTCAGAGGTTTTCCATTGTCATATAGTTTTATAGCTGCAACTTCTTAACTATAGCTGATCAGACAAGCCCTGTGGTCCCAAGCTGAAGTCTGTAACCTTGGCTGTTCAAATGGGCTGAGTTTGGTCGAACATCTATTCTATGTAAACGTAGAACACAAACATTTATTATGCATTGATGCACAAACTGCACATGCTGGTGCTTGAAGCAGCCAAGGTGGAATTCTGTGGAAAGCATATCTACATTTTAAGAAGCACTGAGACAGGAGTTAAGGACAGCTTTAATAGCTTTTTGCTACCACTTAATCTTTGGCGATTTCGATTTTAATTAGGGCTTAGCTCGTGGTGGGAGAAAAGCCGAAAATAACAAGTGCCAGGATAGGATTGAAGAATCCAGAATCACCTTTGGCTTTATGAAAGCTTGCCTTTGCTCAAGGCTTCACGTTCCCAAATGAGCCACCTGTCAACATATACATTTAATCCTCATTAATTTCATATAGTACGTTGATGCGGAAATCCAGAAGGTGTAAAAGATTGTTTTAAACTATTGAAATACAGTGTGTAACATGAAGGATGTAAGTTACTCAGCTTTCTGCTCCCTAAAGCAAGCAGTGTTTGTCTTTAGTGTGAAATTTAACTGTAAAAACTACCTGTAATGTCAACAGATTATAGAAACTTATATTATTAATAAAATGGACCTGGGTTTAAGAGATTTTTTTCTTCAGAGGGGGTGTGAAGCGATTCATTCTTCTGTCTGCGTCTGGGTTTGTCTTTCGATTTTAGTTTTTCATCTTCATATTTCCTCTGATTTGAAAACAAAATTAATTTTTATAATTTTATTGATGAAGCATGATCAAGTACAACCTAAATAAAACTAAATCCTTTTGGATTTATAGATGAATATATTGTTAGCTAGGTTTTATTACTCTCTAATTATTTTAAATCAATGTTATATTCTTAGAAGGTGTTTAGTCTCCTGTGAACCTGAAGCGTTCCCATTTGAACCTTGGAAGATCCTCAAAGAATGAGCGCTCTTGTGCTCTCCTAACCACAAGAATTCCTTAACAAACGTGAGTAAGGACCACTGAAGCCAAAGGACCATCACAGAATTAAGTAACTTAGTTCTGTGAACATGAAAAGGTTTCTTTTTTGGTTCCCAAAGGAGATGATTTTGTACTTTTTTTTTTTCCACAAGGAACAAAAATAACACATTAAGTATCATTAAGAGCATTTTTCAAAGACTCTGAACTTCCAAATCAGAAAGAGAGAGAGAAGGAAAAAAAATATTTTAGTGTGGATTTCTAAGCAGCATGTATACATGTTTTTAAGGCATCTTATTGTTGGCAGTGTTTTTTGTAAGCACCCTATGAAATATGTTGTTTAAACCCTAAAGCAATCTTGTTCACATATCCAAAAAGGACATGAAACACTTGTGCTGGTATAAAGTTTCTCTAAATAATTATTTTTTGAGCTATTTAAAGAATGTCCCCAAAAGCTCACAGTGCCTTGTTGGGATTTTTTTCCCATGAAGTAGCCATTATTTAAAATGAGTGGGAGAGGATAAGTCTTTAAGGCCAGAGCTTGTGTAGCAGTTCAAGGCTATTCCTCTTCAAGAACGCATCAGGAATGAAGTTAGTTGTGTGTGGAAACACAGAAGATCCTTTCCACAGTGTTGGTTTCAATCACCTATTCTAGCATATTTAACTAATTGTGTGGTGGACCTGTATTCTCACATACACCTATTCAGTCAGTGGGATTTACATGTACTTTCTTTCTTGCATTTTCATTCCTTGTGTCCCAGCTTAATAGCCCTAAGGTGTGGGTTGGTGGATGTGGCATACTCAGTCCTGGAGACACCCCCTACATGTTTTGGGTGTTTGCTCACACAGCTCCCTGAGGAGCAGAGCCTGGAGGAGGGGAGGGGGGTGGGTTCCTATTCCTTATGTTGGGTGTCAGTCCTTTTTGTGTGTGATGGTGCCTTCAGAATAATGAATATTTCTGTTTCTGAACAATGATAAATCTTCTGAGAAATATGTGTAGGTTATATTTTTTAATTTTTGTCCTTTTTCGCTAAGCCTGTGAAATACTTTGGCTCTGATACAACTTGACTTGAATAATATCTTATCCTGAGTCTTCCTCTAAGGCAGTGCATATTCCTGCCAATACTGTAGTCATCTTTTGGGAACTACATGTGGGTAAGCACTTGTATGTAAGCCATTATACTGCTGTAACTAATGCATACAAACAATTCTTCTCTTTACATTAATAGTCTTAAAAGTGGATATGTAGTGGGAAGGAAAATTCTTAAGGGAGTCCAGCATAGCTTTGTCAGTTCAGACTGAGCCATACTGTTTTCCAAAGGGCTCAACACATAGTCTATATACTGTGCTTTCAGTGTACGTTTGGATCTCCTTTTACTGCTTTTCCTAGAATGTACTGTTCTATAAGCAAATGCCCATGTGTGATTTTTAAGATGTGCTGGGAAAAAAATAAAACAATACCAAAACCATTCATTGTTACGGAAATTGTTGCTTTTTTTCATGTTGATTCCATCTAATCTTTACAGTCTGTTCCCATAAGTAGCCTCTCTAGTAGTGAATGACAAGTGCACAGATACTGATTTTGTCCCTGCCTGTGGCTCCCACACTGGAGGGAAGGTTGTAGTTGTCTGGGCTCTGAAATAACTGAAGATTGGACCTGTTGAACACAGTCTTACTTGATACATTTAAATAATAACTTGCCATACTAAGAGTTTAGCTCTTATATAATAAGTTAGTTATAGTTAGTTAAAGAAAGCAGTTTTCTGCCGGGCTCATATAAGGCTCAGACTGAATGAACCTTAGAAATCATCTCATCTTTTTCCCAAACACAATTGGTATCTGACCATCCTACCCCTCAGACCACAAATAGATCACCAGTTTTTCTGAACGTGTGCTGTGACCACATGGGAATTTACTGCTTTTCCAGCAAGCCTTTTCCCAGTTTCTGAAATCTTCCGGTATTAAGAGGTTTTTACTTATAAGACTGAAATCTGTCTCCCCCTTCTATCCATTAACGTAACTTCTGTCTTGTGTAGTCATGAAGAATTGCCCGGTTGCTCTGTTGAAGGGCAGCTCTGCAGGCATTTAAAGACACAGCTCACATTCCCCCAGCTTCTTCGGTCACCTGTTGCTCCTGTCAGTTCTAGACCCTTCATCATCCTAATCTCTCTCCATAAGTGCCCTTTTGACGTTCTTAAAGTGAGGTGTCTAGTGCTGAATGTTCCAGAATAGGACCAATGATTCCCTTATTCCAATATTCTTTAGTCACTCTTGCATTTTTGGTGGACAGTGGACAGTGCACTGTCATCTCACACTGGACTTGAATTTAACAGTTTGTCTTTTCTGCATGTGCCATTTTGGACACATCTCCATGGAGGCTGCTTTTTTATTTTATATTCATTTTTATTGGAGTATAGTTGCTTTACAATGTTGTATTAGTTTCTGTTGTACAGCAAGGTGAATCAGTTATACATATACATATATCCCCTGTTTTTTAGATTTCCTTCCCATTTAGGTCACCACAAAGCATTGAGTAGAGTTCCCTGTGCTAAACAGTAGGTTCTCATTAGTTATCTATTTTATACATAGTAGGTATATATGTCAAACCCAGTCTCACAATTCATCCCACCCCCGGCTTCCCCCCTCGCCTCAGTATTCATAAATTTGTTCTGTACATCTGTGTCTCTGTTTCTGCTTTGCAAATAAGTTCATCTGTACCATTTCTCTAGATTCCACATATAAGCGATATTATACGATATTTGTTTTTCTCTTTCTTCACTCTGTATGACAGTTTCTGGGTCTATCCACATCTCTGCAAATTGCACTGTTTTGTTCCTTTTTATGGCTAATATTCCATTGTATGTACGTACCACATCTTCTTTATCCATTCCTCTGTGGATGGACATTTAGGTTGCTTCCATGTCCTGGCTCTTGTAAATAGTCCTGCAATGAACATTGGGTTGCATGTATCTTTTTGAATTATGGTTTTCTCTGGGTATATGCCCAGGAGTGGGATTGCTGGGTCATACGGTAGTTCTGTTTT